GGGGGGTGGGGGTGGGCGTCCTCCGGGTCGCGCATGCGCAGCCTCCCCGCCCCGCCCCCCGCCTCTGGGCCGCGGGTTGGTGGTTTTGGGTCACGTGGGTGCGCATCGCCGCTTCCTCGCCGCAGGGGACCCGCCCGCGGGCAGGTTTCCGGTTCGGTGGGTCGGAGATGACGGAGCCGGGCGCCTCTCCGGAGGACCCCTGGGTCAAGGCAAGCCCCGTGGGCGCGCACGCCGGCGAGGGGAGGGCGGGTCGGGCTCGTGCACGTAGGGGGTCCGGAAGACGAGGGGACTCCCTGAAGTCCCCAGAGCTACCCCCGCTCTCCGGGCCCCGGGGCTGCAGAGAAGACAGCTCTCACCCCGCGTGTGCCAAGGTGGGAAGACAACTGAAGCGTGTGCGCGCGGGTGTGAGGGGACGGGGCTGGAGGGCTGGGGGTGTGGAGTGGGCGGATGGGGTCCTGCCGAGGGGCGGCGCTCTCGCGGCCTAGCCACTCTTGGCTCTGGGGGAATCCTGTGGCTGCCCGCGCACCCCAGGGGTGTGTGTGTGTGTGTGTGTGTTTACACGCGCGCAGGGGCGGAGGTCTGAACGGGCTTCTCCCTTGCTCGGTGCCGCAGGTCGAGTATGCGTACAGCGACAACAGCCTGGACCCCGGTGAGTGCCTTCCCCACCGTCTGCAGCTCTGGAGGGACACTCCCATTTCAGCCCTATAGATTTAAGTGGCCTTGCTAGCCACACCTGAGCACAGTCCACTGCCCTTGAGCTGAGCGGGCCTGAGCAGCGAGGGAGGAGGAGCTGGAGGACAGGGGCAGGAAGCATCCAAGGGTGACACCTAGTTCCCTATGTCCTGGAGCAGGGACGTGATGGAATTAGTGACAGCTGGTCACTCACCATCATCACGCCCAGATGCCACTTGGTGAGCCAGGAGGTATCACTGCAGGCCTGTGGAGCAGAGTAGACACTAGAGACAGGAGCACTGCGAAATGGCACGACAGGAAGTGGGTGGCCCAGTATGGCTGGCTTTTGGGTTGAAGGGGAGAGGTCAGTATTTAAGGCCTAGGAAGCCATCATGCCCCTAGCAGGGCCCCTCCCTCTATCCTACCCCTTAGTGATTGGGGCCTCTCTTTTCCAGGGCTTTTTGTAGAAAGCACCCGCAAGGGGAGTGTAGTGTCCAGAGCTAATAGCATCGGTTCCACCAGTGCCTCTTCTGTCCCCAACACAGGTAGGCAGCAACGTACCCCCCACTCGGGGGAACCAGATATGCCTTCATTTTAGTATCTTTCCTAGACAGGGCAGCTCCAGCCATCCACGTGGAGGCGCTGGAACCCTAGTGCTAGAAGCAGGGTATTGCCATCTCTCACCTCATCTGGGACATTAGGTTTTTGTATCTATCTGCCATCTCTGGGTACCAGGTTCTTCTTCCCAGCTGGGGAAAAGTGGGCTAGATGGGCCCCACTGGGCCCTAGAATGACCTCTTCCTGCCCCCAACTCTGAGCGTAGATGACGAGGACAGCGATTACCACCAGGAATCCTACAAGGAGTCCTACAAGGACCGGCGGCGGCGAGCACACACTCAGGCTGAGCAGAAGAGGAGGGATGCCATCAAGGTGATTGGGGATGCCTGCATCTCAGCCAGCGCAGGAGGGCGCTGCACACTTCAGATCCACTCTGCCTTGACCCCGTCAGGCAGTCCCAAGCGGGCTTGGGGGCAGCTAGTCTAGGCCCTGGACATGAACTTCTCCCTCCTTCCCACTCCCTTTGAGTGAATGAGCATGGAACTTGGTATCATGGAAGAAAAACTTTGTGCCCATTTGCCTTAACCCCTCAGTTAAGGAACCCATGTCCCCTGCTATCTCCACAGAGAGGCTATGATGACCTACAGACCATCGTTCCCACCTGCCAGCAGCAGGACTTCTCCATTGGCTCCCAAAAGCTCAGCAAGGCCATCGTTCTGCAGAAGAGTATGGCCGGGAGAGCACTGGAGGGCTTGGAGCCAAGGGGGCTGTGAAGGCTAGCGCCTCAGAGCCGCTTTTGGCCTGGCCCTGGTGGGGTGGTTGTAACAGGAGAGGTGGGGTCTGGGGGAAGGGGAGACACAGTCAGCCTGGTCCTTCTGGTTGTGCCCACCCCCTCTTCCCTCCCCCACTCCAGCCATTGACTACATCCAGTTTTTGCACAAGGAGAAGAAAAAGCAGGAGGAGGAGGTATCCACGCTACGCAAGGACGTCATGGCCCTAAAGATCATGAAAGTGTAAGGGGGGTGCTGGGCTGGGGGAACCAGGGCTTCTGGTTCTGAGGGGACTCTGAGGCCCCTTCAGTTCACGCCCTCCCCGTTGTTCAAAGGCCACATCAGATAATGTTCTCACTCTCTCATGTGGTAGGCAGGACTCTATCCCAACTGTAGCAGATACTCTGGAAACGCCTGTGGGATTAACGAAGGGAAGGCTGGAGAGGGTGGGTCACCACTTCTGACCTAGAAGCAGTATCTAGCTGATGTTGAATACCTCCCCAAGGCTCTCTGGGAATCTCCTTCCCAGGGGAGTACGTAGGGAATCTCCTTCCCAGGGGAGTACGTAGGGTAGCGCTATTCTTCCTGGGCCGGTGGAGCTGCTGCAGCCCCTTAGCCCTGGCCTGTTCGCTCTCAGGAACTATGAGCAGATTGTGAAGGCACACCAGGACAACCCCCATGAGGGGGAGGATCAGGTCTCTGACCAGGTGAAGTTCAACGTGTTTCAAGGCATCATGGACTCCCTCTTCCAGTCCTTCAATGCCTCTATCTCCGTGGCCAGCTTCCAGGAGCTGTCAGCCTGTGTCTTCAGCTGGATTGAGGAGCACTGTAAGCCTCAGGTATGGGGCAGCAGTGGACACGGGGTTGGGGGTCTTCCCTCAAGCACAGTGGCCCAAGCCGTTGTTTGTTCAGAGAGACAGGGTAGCAGGTTGTAGGTTTCTTGAGAATATTTCTACAACTTTCAGTATTCTTGTTTCCCCCTTTGTTTTCTAGCCCAGTTTTTCCTGTTAAGGTTTCATTTGGCAAGAAGGATTGGAGCACTCACTAATGCAAAGGCCTAGCTCTTGGCCTTTGTTTCGCCCACATAGTGGCAAGTAATGGCAGCCTCAGGCATTCCTCCTCGGCCGCCCAGCAAGTAAGCCCCGATCACTTGCAGCAGACTTACTTGGGGTTTTTGGAAAGATTCCTGGCCCCCACCCCCACGCCCACTACAGTAGCTTTCCATGGGGTTTCTGATTATTATTTGTAATGGAGAGTGTGTTAATGGTTGCACTGAGTCTTCCATTTTTGAGGCCTGGTTGCTTTTTCTGAGGTTTGACTTGTATCTGAGATTCTCACGTTTTTATTTCCCAACATTTTTTTAAATGTAATTTTTTAAAGTTACACTCCATTTACACTTATTACAAAAAACATTGGCTACATTCCCCATGTTGTACAATACCTCCCTGCAGCCTTACACCCAGTAGTTTGTACCTCCCACTCCCCCACCCCGATATTGCCCT